GGAGGGGGAGGAGGAGGAGGAGGAGGAGGAGGAGGAGGAGGAGGAGGAGGAGGAGGAGGAGAAAGACGGAGAGGAGGAGGAGGATGAGGAGGGCATAGGGGCGGAGGCATCGACCTGGAATCGGCGATACATCGTCGATAGATCGGCGGTGGGCCCCCGATCGCGCGAATCCGCACCTTCCTGGGCGTGGTGGGTCCCTCGGGTCCCGATCGGCGATGACTCGGCGATTGGGGGTCGATGCACCCCCCCCTGTGCCTATCCCCCCCTATCGTTGCCCCCCCGAAAAGAGCTGCAACCGGAGGAGGAGGAGGAGGAGGAGGAGGAGGAGGAGGAGGAGGAGGAGGAGGAGGAGGAGGAGGAGGGGGAGGAGGGGGAGGGGGAGGAGGGGGAGGAGGGGGGGGGGAAGGAGGAGGAGGAGGAGGAGGAGGAGGAGGAGGAGGAGGAGGAGGAGGAGGAGGAGGAGGAGGGGGAGGAGGAGGAGGAGGATGAGGAGGAGGAGAGGAGGAGGGGGAGGAGGGTGGAGGGCCGGTCCTTCCCACGTGGAAGGCCCGCCGTTCCCACAGTGCGGCTCTCGCAGGTTCTCAAGATGGGGGGGCTCTCGCCGGAGCCTTCCTCAAAGCAGAACACCGCGTGCGCGCAGGCTTGTGCAACAGCTGTGCGCATGGACGGCGGCGGCTTTGGAAAAGGGGGCTCTCGCTTGAGCCTTCCTCAAGATTCGGGGATGGACAGACCCCCCTTTAATAAAACGTGGTTTAGTGAAACCGACCTGAAGCCCAAACCTGGCGGGCGCAAGCCTGGAAAATAACGGCCACGGCGCCCTCTCGAGAACCGAAAACGGACAATTCACTAATCGAAGGCATGAACGATTCTTGCCCTGGTGCCGGTGCCGGTGCCGGTGCCGGTGCCGGTGCCGGTGCCGGTGCCGGTGCCCGCGCCGGTGCCGGTGCCGGTGCCGGTGCCGGTGCCGGTGCCGGTGCCGGTGCCGGTGCCGGTGCCGGTGCCGGTGCCGGTGCCGGTGTTGGCGCCAGTGCCGGTGCCGGTGCCGGTGCCGGTGCTGGTGGCCGGTGCCGGTGGCCGGTAGCCGGTGCTGGTGCCAGTGCCGGGGCCGGTGCCGGTGCCGGTGCTGGTGCTGGTGGCTGGTGCTGGTGCGGGTTCCTGTTTTCCCAGAACATCCTCTCCTTCTCCCTCCCGCCTCCCGCCTCCCAGCAGTGCCCCTCCCGCCCTTCCAGGGAGGCCCCGCCTGAGCGAGGAGGGTATCGGAAACCCATACTATTTACATGGTTTCGTGCCCTTCCCACCTCTCCAGGGAGGCCCCGCCTGAGCGAGGAGGGTATCCCACCCCTCCAGCAGGGAGGCCCCGCCTGATTGAGCGAGGAGGGTATCGGAAACCCATACTATTTACATGGTTTCGTGCCCCTCCCACCCCTCCAGGGAGGCCCCGTCTGAGCGAGGAGGGTATCGGAAACCCATACTATTTACATGGTTTCGTGCCTCTCCCTCCCCTCCAGGGAGGCCCCGCCTGAGCGAGGAGGGAATCGGAAACCCGTACTATTTGCATGGTTTCGTGCCCTTCCCACCTCTCCATGGAGGCCCTGCCTGAGCGAGGAGGGTATCGGAAATTAATAAAGATTACATGGTTTCGTGCTCCTCCCACCCCTCCAGGCATGCCCCGTCCACTGAAATGGGTGAGGAGGAGGGGAGAACATTACCTATCCATCTCACGTCCTACTCCTCCCACTGAGGAGGGTGAGGAGGAGGGGGAGTTCTGCGATGAGGAAGGCTTCATCATGATGATGGTGATGACGATGGTTATACTGCTGTTCACGATGACGATGACGATGGCGATAATGGTGATGGACGATGACGATGGCGGTAACGGTGATTATGATGATGATGCTGATGATGATGACGATGATGATGATGATGATGACGATGACGATGATGACAACGATGGCGACGACGACGAGGATGATGATGCAGATGCTGGTGATGATGACGATGGTGCTGCTGATACTGACGTTGCTGGTGCTGTTGATGATGACGACGAAGATGATGCTGATGATCATGACGTCCACGATGATGCGGACGATGATGATGCCAAGGACGGTGATGGTGATGATGATGACGATGCTGATGATGATGATGACGATGGTGGCGACGACGTTGATGATGATGACGATGACGCTGGCGATGATGATGATGCTGATGATGATGATGAAGATGATGATGATGGTTATGAAGATGCCGATGATGCTGACGATGATGATGATGATGACGATGATGATGATGATGATGATGATGATGATGATACTGATGATGATGACAATGATGCTGATGATGACGACGACGACTGGGTGACGACGATGCTGCTGATGATGCTGATGATGACGACGATGATGCTGGTGATGATGATGATGATGATGATGATGATGCCGAGGATGAGGAGGACGAGGAGGAGCAGGACGACGAGGAGGAGGAGGAGGAGGAGGAGGACTCGCTTGAACGAGGAGGGTCGCGGACAGCATTACTCTTTACCAGGTTTCGTAGGCCTCCCCCCTTCCAGCGGGGACCCGCCAGAGCGAAGAGGGTATCAACAACCCGTACTAGTTACAAGGCTTCGTTTCTTGAGCACCTGTCCTCCCTCCTCCTTTCTTTCGTCTGCCCTTTCGTGCGTACATACTCGTTCGATGAGCTTCTCCTTCGTGTTGATGTTGTCGTACCCCATGGGTCCCACGAAACTGTTAATATTTTTTATGTGGGGAACTGCGTTTGCATAATTTTTCCACTGATTGTACTGCAATCGATTCCACTGGGTTTGCACTTGATTGGCTTGCAACCGATTGGATTGCAACCGCTGGGGGGGCGCACAGGGCAGCGACGAGGAGGCGGCGACGGCACGGTGACGGCGACGAGCAAGGAACCGCCAGACCGACCCTCAGGCCAAGACGACGGGCGGCGACGACGCAGCAAGGGGGGGCGACGGCAAGGACGGAAAAACCAGACCGCCCCTCAAGCCAAGACGACGACGGGCGGCGACAGGGCGGCAACGGCGAGGAGGAGAGAGCCGCCAGACCGCCCCTCAGACGACCCAGCTAATAGTAGGAAAGAAGAGAGAAGGCCCCCTAAGTGCAAGCACTGTTTGGGAAATGTCAGGATGTTCAATGTCAATGATGTTTTTCATCCGGTGCCAGTGCTTGCGCCGGCGCCGGTGCCGGTGCCGGTGCCAGGGCTGGTGCCGGTGCCTCTTGGGGGCCTCTCGGGGGCGAGGGCTCGAAATGCCCGTTCGGGTTCACCGTTTGGGCCACCTCTCAATCCTAAGCCCTCCTATTCCTCACCGTTCCTCCGCTCCCCTTCCACGCCTTCCGCACCTCCTCCACAATCCTCCCACCACCACCCTCCTGGCTCCTCACATCCTTCCCCACGTATTCGCACTCCTCCCAACTCATCTGCGTTCCTCCGAGTCCTCGCTCATCCTCACTCTCTCCGCTCTTCCGCGATCCCCCGCACTCCGCCTCATTTTTCCGCTTTCTTCCGCGCTCGCTCTACCACCCCATGGTTCATCAACAACCCAGTGCACGCCGCGCGCCCCCTCCCATTCCTGTTCACGGCTCCTCCTCCACACTCCCCTCATCTTCTCCGCGTTTTTTCCCCCGACGATTCCGCAGTCTCCGCGCTCCCCCTAGATCTCTCGTGTGATTCCAAAGCGTTTCGCTTTGTGATTCTCCTCAACTCCCCCCAATTCGCCCGTTTATCATGCTCATTGTTTCTGCACTCCTTCCAACTCCGCTGAATTCCAATCCCATCCTCCACGTTATTCCACATTCTCCTGTCCCGACTCCCCCCCGTATGCCGTGTCTATTTTTGCCACACCGTGTCTATTTGTTTCGGGCTCCTTTTGCGCGTATATTCGTCGCGTGACTATTCGTGTCTAATCATGTCTATTCGTGTCTATTTATGAGCCGTGTCTATTATCGTGCCTATTTATGACGTTCGTTTCTTTTTTGATCCACTTTCGTGTCTATTTTAAATGAATTCGTGTCTATTTCAGAGAAGTGTCTATTCGTGATTATTTTTCTTATACAAAACCATATGTTTTACATTGCGCGCAGCGCGAATTTATAGACACGAATAGAAATAGACACTGTGAAACAATATCACGCAAAACGAAAGCGAAAATAGACACCCCGTCTTGTAGGCTAGGGGTTGCGGGTGCCAGTGCCGGTGCTGGCGCCGGCGACGGCGACGGCGACGGCGTTGGTGCCCGTGCCGGTGCCGGTGCCAAGGCGCCGCTGGCGCAGGCGCTGGTGCCGGTGCCGGTGCCCGTGCCGGTGCCGGTGCCGGCGCTGGTGCCGGTGCCGGTGCCGGTGCCGGTGCCGGTGCCGGTGCCGGTGCCGGTGCCGGTGCCGGTGCCGCGCTGCCGGTGCCGGTGCCGGTGCCGGTGGGCGAGAATCGTTCTATAGTGACTAATCGACGTGTCACTGTTGGGGGTTCTGTCCACCCCCGAAAGATGCACGAGCCGAGCTGTTGAATTGTGCAGCATTCGCACGGGGTGGAAAGCAAATCCTTTTCAAGACGGGGCTGTCGCTGGTCCCTTCCTTGGCATTGATCATCCTACCTCTTTGCGCTTCTCTCAGCTAGAAGGATGGAGGGTGGAGATCCTCCAGGGCGCTCGCTATTAAAGGACTGCGTGTAAGGACTTCTGAGGGGGGACTTGGGACGGGAGGGTGTATTGCAGCATCGTTGATGCATCTTTGGGTTACCCTGGCCCTCCTCCTCCTCCACCCTCCATCCCACCCTCTCCCCCCCTCCGCTCAACCCCCCTTCCTTCCACCCCCCCATCCCCCCCCGCCCGCCCCCTCCTCGGGGTGGATGAGGACGTTCTGCGGCTTGAGATCGCGGTGGATGATGCGGCGCACGTGGCACGCGTGAATTCCGCGAAGAAGGTCCTGGCGACGCTCGGGGAGGCTGTCGCATCCACCTCCTCAACCCATCCATCCCCCTTAGCCCTCCCACTGCATCCACAAGCCTCCGACCGCAGACGCTGCTGACCTCTCGTCGCCTTCCCTTCCCTCCCCCATTCCCCCAACGACGCCCGCCCCCCAAGGAACTCCTGCGAGTACTGGAGGACGCGCGCCATGGGCAGCTGCGTGCCAGCCCGACGGTGGCCCTTCAGCACCCGGTGGAGCTCGTCGGGGACGTACTCGAAGACCAGCTGGAACTCCTGGAGGGACACAGCAGAGAGCAGAGCGCGCCGGTGCCCGCCTTCGGCGGCGGGGCCTGGAAGGCCGGCGCGGGCGGGCCGGAGCCCGAGTTCTCGCAGTGGTGAGGGTTCTCGACCGGTGGTGCCGTGTGCTGCGTGCTGCAGACATGCTGCTTCTAAGCTGCTCCACTTCGTGCTGCCTTTGTGCCAGCGTGAGCCGTCGTTGGCTGTTCTGCTGCAGGGGGGGGTGAGGGGGGGGGGACAGGGAAGAGCGGAGGGAGGGAGTTTCCCTGTCGCGATGTCTGGCGCATTCCTACGGGAGACCGTCCCTTCATTCGGAGATAAGGCCGTCGCCGCGGACGAGGGTGTGCCTAAGCGCTGACGCCTTCTACCTCACATAGCACGCGGCCGCCAGGACCCCCCTGACTCGAGCTGGCGCAAAGGACGCAAAACGGGGGAGAAGGGGGGACGATCGCTGGGACGCGGAGGAAGAGGAGGAGAGGTGACGAGAATGGCGACGGCTGGGACGAAGAGGAAGAACAGGGGGTGACGAGGATTGGAATGAGGAGGAAGGGGAGATAAGGAGAAGGGAAGACGGTAGCCGTGAGTGAGAGTGACGAGACTCCCCCACACGCTCCCCCTCTCTTGTGCTACCCCGGAGATCTAGGCAATCAGTTCGGGCCCTCCGCACCGCTCCCTCCTGTCGGGGGCGTCCACGAGGCAGGCGTCCACGAGGGGGATTAGCAAGTGAGGCTCGAGGCATGTGCGCGGCACACGGGTGGAGGCCAGGGGACGCATTGAGATCCGCCAGCCCAGCGGGCCAGAGTCGGGCGGGTGGTAATGGGGGGTGGCCCATATGAGGGTGAAAACAAGGGCCCTCAAGAGCCCTCAGGATCCCTTCTCGGCCCCTGCTGGCTGCAAGCCCCCTTTAGGGCCCTGTCCTTCCCCCCCCCCCCCTTAAGTCACCCACCATTACCAATTACCACCCGCCCGAGAGCGGCATGCCAAGATCTCCGGCGACAGGTTTACAGTACTTCTGGTTCGCGCGCGCGGGCGGTCCACGGACGAAAGCTACCCCGGCCAGGTGGGAGCGCTGGGGAGCGCTTGAGAGCGCTGGGGCGCGCCTGGGAAGCGCCGGGAAGGGAAGCGCCTGGGAGCGCCTGGGGTGGGGGGGCGCCTGGGAGCGCCTGGGGGCGCTTGGGAGCGCCTGGGAAGCGCCTAGGATTAGGTCGGGCACGTCCCCTTACAGGCGGATCTGAAATAACAAAGAATCAATACATAACCAAAAGTAATCAAAAGTTAATCGAAAAATCCCTCCCTGACTATTATCTTAAACTATTCTTGATTATGCCTCCTGTAGAGGGACATGCCCGATGTAAGCCTAGGAGCTCCTTGGAAGCGTCTCCTGGCCCAGGCGGTCCCCGGCCGCGGATGCCGAAACGAGCGGTCTCCGAGAACCCTGGCACGCCGCGGCGACCGACACGCTGGGGCCACTCCTGGCGCGCAGCCAGGCCTCAGAAAAAGTACACCCGCAGGGGCCCCAGGCCATGGCCGCAAGGGGCTCCAAGATGGCCCAACGACGGCCCCAAGATGCCTCAAGATAGCCCGAAGATTGCCCAGGAGCTCAACCTCAATCGCGTTCCTCAGGTTTTTGAAGGATTGGGGCGTCACCGCCTTTTCAGGCTTCCGACTGCCCAAGACGGCCCAAGAGGCCCCCACGACCGTCCCAAGGCAGCCCAAGAGCTGTCAGGACGGCCCCAAGATGGCCCAAGAGGGCCCCTGGACGGTCAAAGAGGCTCCCCGAGAGGGAGCCCGAGGCACCCAACAGAACCCCGAGAGGGGAATCCGAACTGCCATTTGTAGCCCTTTCCCCCGAACATGGCCCCCGAGACCGGCCGCAAGCCCCCAAGGAGCCCCCCAGAGGCTCCCGAGAGGCCCCCGAGAGGCCCCGAGAGGCCCCGAAATGCCGCTACGAGGGCACCCAGAGGCCTCCCAGAAGAGATCCCAACAAGCCTCACAGCAAGGCCTCTTGTCCGCGAGACCTACTGGCCTCCCAAGAAGGCCTCTCGTCCACGATCCCGACGAGACCTCCCTGCAGCATGAGCCAGCGGAACGAGCGAAGCGATCCAATAAGAACGGGAGACCGTGAATTCCGGGGAGACAGCACGGCCCCCGCCATGATATCCACCCCCCCTCTAGCCATCACCCCCCCTGGTCGCCCCCTATCTATGAGGCCTCCTAGATGGGGTCGGAGAAGAGTGGGTCGGAGGATCGCGCCGCATCGCCGATACATCGGCGATGTATCGGCGATGTATCGGCGATGCACTGGCGATGCATCGTCGACGTCGGCGACGTATCGGCGACGTCGGCGTGGGGCAACATGGTCTCCACATCGAGCCGCATCGGAGATGCATCGCCGATGCGGCGCGATCCTCCGACCCCATCTACTCCGACCCCATCTAGGAGGCCTAGATTGGTCGCCCCTTCTCTAGCCATCACCCCCCCTTTGTCGCCCATTCTCTAATCATCACCACTCCTTGGTCGCCCCTTGGGGAAAGGCGCCGGCACAGATTCCGCTACTCCAGGGATCTCTCCCGGGGTCCGTTCTGACCAAAATTTCAAAGCGAATCCAGCCGCGGCGACGAGGGCCTCCCAGGAGGCCTCTGTCCATCGCTCGGACGTCCATTCCCTGTGTTTTTCCAGTTTCGTGCGTGGGTTTTCGCCAAATGATCAAGGATGCTCGTCGATGGTCCTCGCCGAACGAAAAGTGCACGCGTCCGAGCGGTGCCAGGGCCCAGCAGGAACGGGCAGCGGTATCGGTGCCTTCTTCCCCCCTCCGGCGAAAGCCTCGTGGGCGGAGCACACACCCGCAGCTACGGCCCCGCAGGCCGGGCCCCAGGGCCGCGACCCCGCGGATACGCAGCGTTTTTGTCGCGGATGCCCCGCGCGGACGTAGTCGTGCGACCGCGTAGCTGCGGGATCGCGCCCCAGAATCCAGATCGCGAGGGCAAGGGCGAGGGTACGAATCTGCTCGCCGCTCGTGAGCTCCCCCCCCCGCGTGCTCCGTGAGGCTCAAGACCTGGATGTCCCGGAGCTGCACGACGTGGCGGTGGGAGAAGTCACGCAGCAGGGACACCTCGCGGATGACGTGCGCGGGCACTCCGTCGCCCTGATCGTCGTCCATGACGATCCGCTTGAGCGCCACCGTCTCGTTGGTCTCGCAGTCCCTCCAGGAGAGGACGAGGAGGGGCCCAGACGTTAGAGGCCTCCCAAAGGGGGTCCGAGCAGACCGGGTCGGAGGACCGCGCTACATCGCCGATGCGTCGCCCGATGCATCTGCGATGCGTCGGCGGTGTTTCGGCGACGTCAGCGCGGAGAAAATCGGGCTCCACACCGAGCCGCATCGGCGATGCATCGGCGATGCGGCGCAATCCTCCGATCCCACCTGCTCCGACCCATCTAGGAGGCCTGGAGACATCCGACGTACTGAAAAATCAGCTCGGAGGTGTGTCATCGTTTTCTGGTCTCCCGGGGCCCTCACCAGGCCCCCAGAGACCGTCGAGAAACGACTCGGGACGAAAAGACAGCCCCACAGAATGGGTCGAAACCTCTGGGGGTCCACGTTCCCAGACCCCCGACGTCACGATTTGTTCATAACGTCGAACCCAGAAGGTCTCGACCCATTCCCTGTGACCGGTTTTTCGTCCTGAGTCGTTTTCTGACGGCCCCGAGGCCCGACAAGGGCCCCCAAAGGCCGAAATAGCGAAAAAACTACCCGTCGTGAATTTGTCATGACTCGAGGGGTTCTGGGTTATGAGAAAGTCACGACGTCGGGGCTTGCGAAAGAAAGGTCGAGAATCGATGCTTCTGGGCGTCTGAGCCCTCCTGGGGACCCGGCAAACACGGAGCGCTCACCAAGAAGCCCCACTCCCTCGGCCCTTGAAGCAGCGGGAGCCAGGGGGGAGGGGGAGGAACAGGAGGAGGAGGGGGAGGAGGAAGGGGGAGGAGGAGAAAGAGGAGAAGGAAGAGGAGGAGAAAGAGGAGAAGGAGGAGGAGGAGGAAGAGGAGGAGGAGAAAGAGGAGGAGGAGGAGGAGGAGGAGGAGGACCGAGGACGAGGAAGAGGAGGACGAGGAGGAGGACGAGGACCGAGGAGGAGGAGGAGGAGGAGGAGAAGGAGGAGGGAAGATGGGAGAGCCGAGGATCCCCGTCCGCCCCTCCTGCTCCTTCCCCTCTCCCTCCCCACATCCTTTTGTCTCATGTCCCTCCCACTCCTCCCCCTCTTCCTCCCTCCCTCTCTCAGTGAGCATCCGTTTCCTGCGGCAGCGGCCGAAGGAAAAGAGGCGCTTCAGATATCACTTGCCCGTCACGCGCGCAAGTGCTGATGACTTGGGCGACCACGAAAAAATCCAGAATCCGACCTTCTCGATCGTGCACTTCTAAGCCGTCCTGGTATCCTCCTCATCCATCCTGCCTGGCCTGGGCCGGGAGGCATGTCGGATGTCTGGGGGACGCCACCGCGCTGCGCACGTGCTGCAGCCATCCTGATGGAGTCAATCCCCTTGGACTATCCAGGGCCTGCGACTGCAAAAAAGGATGCCACCTACCACGTCGAGGATATGAAAATTCTCAACAGTGTCACCTAAATTCGTGATCATACAGACACTGTAGACTTCCAGTCCCTCCGTGAAGCCCACATTGATGACCTGACCTGTGATCCCCATCGAACTTACCCAAACCAGGAATGGAGAGCTGCCGAGACCCAAGATCACCTGAAACAACTATGCCGACGCCTCCAAAACTCTGCAAGGAGCCTGGGCCAATACAAGCAGCCCTTTCCAATGAAACCGAGTCACCGTGCCTACTGGCCCAGCCTTGCGACGCGATGATATGGTCGCTATCTTTCAGGCGAATCTCCTCCAGGGCCAAGACCTGGAACTTGGGCACATCAGAATTGAGACCCCAGGGGTCTCCAGCACCTCGAGGAGCGTTGTCACTGAACCAGCTGACTACAGTGTCCGTCGATACCCACTGTTCGCGCTCGCGCCTAAAAAAATACTCCGACGGAAGGACCCCGCATGATAATCTGTTTTGCGTGCCCTTCTCCCTTTCCTCCTGGCCATGGCAAACACCCTCCTCTCGCCCTCTCCTCTGCCCTCTTGTTCCCTCCTTCTCCTATTTCCCCCTTCCCCCTCCGTCTACCTCCCCCTCCTCCATCTCCACCTCCTCCTTATCATCGCTCTCCCCCATGCCCTCCCCCTCCACATCTTCTTCCTGCCGCTTCTCTACGTGCACCTCCCCCTCCCCCTGGGCGGGGCAAGCAAGTCGATGTTCCTCGGCGCCGTCGCCGCCTCGGCCAGCAGTGGACTGGCGCGTTCTCTGATGGCCGCGTCGCGCAGCCGCTGGGGCAACCCCGCGGGCCAGGCTGTCGGGGCAACCCCGCGAGCCGCTGGCGCGCAAGACCAAACCGTTGGAACACCCCTGCGGGTTTCGAGCGGGGCGCAGCCACTCTCAGGCGGGAGGCGGCACGAAGCCCAGCCTTGCCGCGAGCTGCTCCGCCTCCGCCCTGGACAAAACCGCTCTCTCGTCGAACTCCAGCAGCGCCTCCCGCAAGGACGCCGGCGGCCCTCGTCCAGGAACTCCCGCGGCGGCGGCCGCAGGATCAGCATGTTCCGCATGCACGTGGCGCGGGAGAACATGACGTAGAGGTGCAGCCACCACTGCTCATCCGACATGCCCGCGCGGCCAGCGTCCTCGTCTCTCGCGCAGTCGATGGTGACGCCCTTGCGCAGCGTCTGGCCCTGCGACAGCGTGGAGGTCAGGTAGGGCGCGTGCGTCAGGGTGAGCCCCGAGCGGCGCACCTTGTGCGCCCCCGAGCTCTGCCACGTGGACTCCCTTTCGCTGGGCCTGAACGTCAGCAAGATCCGCGCCCGCGCCTCGGCCTGGCAGTCGTCGTCAGCGCCCTCGGCGCCATGCAGCACCACCTCGGCGACCTCCCGGTAGATCGGAGACTCCTTGAAGCCGTGCACCTGCAGCCAGATTCCCTGCGGTAGGAAGCGGGGGCGGAAGAGCTGGCCCGGCGCGCGCTCCTCGTAGTCCCGCTCGTCGTCTGCGTGAAACTCGAAAGACACGATGGTGGCCCGTTGCTCCTGCACGAGCCCCAACCTCTTCTTCAACTCTTCCTGCGCTGCCGTGAACCGCACCTCCATGCCGACGTGGGCCGGCAAGACGCCGTGGATGTCCCCCGTCTTGTGCATGTCCGGGACGTTCAGGAGGCGCCGACCCGTGTCGGGATCGCCCTGAATCGTGCTGCACTCGTCCATGGCCTGCAAGAAAACGAGGGGCACGCCCAGGCGCCGCGCGTCGCGACGAGCGCGCGTGTTGATCCACCTCGCCAGCGTCTCCCAGTATATGCCCATGCCGTAGCCGAGCCGAAAGTTCTCGAGCTGGTGCCGAGGGCCCAGGACGCCGCGGTTGTCCGTGGCCAGCGTCTTCTCCCAAGCGGACCAGACCTCGAGTGGGAAGGGCTTGCCCTCGCGCATGCAGCTCAGGAGCGTGATCAGAGGGTCCCCGGGCTCGAAGCGCGTCGTGCCCGGGTTCGAAGACAAGAGTGCGAGTGAATGGTGTTCTGGGAACACGAATTCACTCGCAACTCACTCACAGACGAAGCTCCCGCCTGAGACCTCCTCCATATTCAAGCCTGAGGAGCTCAAAAATTGACGACAGTTACAGGAATCCGACGACCCGTGTGGATTAATGAAATGATCTGCGGGCCCCATAGGGAGGGGGTTACCGCCTGAGACTTCCTCTCAATTCACTCAGAGACGAAGCTCCCGCCTGAGACTTCCTCCATATTCAGGCCTCAGGAGCCCAAAAGTGACGACAGTTACAGGATCCCGATGACCCGCTCGGATTAATAACATGATCTGCGGGCCCCATAGGGAGGGGCTCCCGCCTGAGACTTCCTCGCAATTTACTCACAGGCGAGGCCCCCGCCTGAGACTTCCTCCAGATTCAGGCCTCAGGAGCACAAAAGTGACGACAGTTACAAGATCCCGATGACCCGCTCGGATTAATAACATAATGCGCGGGCCCCATAGGGAGGGGCTCCCGCCTGAGATTCCCTCGCAATTTACTCACAGGCGAGGCCCCCGCCTCATACTTCCTCCAAGTTCAAGCCTGAGGAGCCCAGAAGTGACGACAATTACAAGTTTCCGATGACCCGCTCGGATTAGTAACATAATCCGCGGGCCCCATAGGGAGGGAGCTCCCGCCTGAGACTTCCTCATAATTCACTCACAG